TCCCTGGTGTCCCTGGTGGCCCCGGTGGCCCCGGTGGCCCTGGTGGCCCTGGTGTCCCCGGTGTCCCTGGTGTCCCTGGTGGCCCCGGTGGCCCCGGTGGCCCTGGTGGCCCTGGTGTCCCCGGTGTCCCTGGTGTCCCTGGTGGCCCCGGTGTCCCTGGTGGCCCTGGTGGCCCTGGTGGCCCTGGTGTCCCCGGTGTCCCTGGTGTCCCTGGTGGCCCTGGTGGCCCCGGTGGCCCTGGTGTCCCTGGTGTCCCTGGTGGCCCCGGTGGCCCTGGTGGCCCCGGTGTCCCTGGTGTCCCTGGTGGCCCCGGTGTCCCTGGTGTCCCTGGTGGCCCTGGTGTCCCCGGTGTCCCCGGTGTCCCTGGTGTCCCCGGTGGCCCTGGTGTCCCTGGTGTCCCCGGTGGCCCCGGTGGCCCTGGTGGCCCCGGTGTCCCTGGTGTCCCTGGTGGCCCTGGTGTCCCTGGTGGCCCTGGTGGCCCCGGTGGCCCTGGTGGCCCCGGTGGCCCCAGTGGCCCCGGTGGCCGTCACCTACCGCTGGCCGCCCTCTCCTTCCACTTCTGCTTGTTCTCCTGGATGTGCCTGGTCCAGGTGGAGCGGAACCCGGCCAGGTCGGCCTTGATGTCCCCCAGCTCCAGGTGCTCGTCCAGGGACTGCTGCCGCCACTGCGAGCTGGGCACACGGGCACGGGGGTTGGCACCACCCCCAGGACACGGGGGTTGGCACCACGGCCACCCCTCAGGACACGGGGGTTGGCACCACGGCCATCCCCAGAGACCCCCAGGGCACAGGGGTTGGCACCTCTGCACCCCACAGAGCCCCCCAGGACACGGGGGTTGGCACCACGGCCATCCCCAGAGCCCCCTGGGATACGGGGGTTGGCACTACGGCCACCCCCCAGACCCTCCCCCAGGACACAGGGGTTGGCACCACCCCCAGGACACGGGGGTTGGCACCACGGCCACCCCTCAGAGTCCCTCAGGACACGGGGGTTGGCACCACCCCCAGGGCACAGGGGTTGGCACCACGGCCACCCCTCAGAGCCCCCCGGGACACGGGGGTTGGCACCACGGGCATCCTCCCGAGACCCCCAGGGCATAGGGGTTGGCACCATGGCCACGCCCAGACCCCCCAGGACATGGGGGTTGGCACCACGGCCACCCCCAGACCACCCTGGGACACGGGAGTTGGCACCACGGCCACCCCTCAGAGCCCCCCAGGACACGGGGGTTGGCACCACGGCCACCCCCAGACCACCCTGGGACACGGGAGTTGGCACCACGGCCACCCCTCAGAGCCCCCCAGGACACGGGGGTTGGCACCACGGCCACCCCCAGACCACCCTGGGACA